CCGTAGGGGCAGATTTAAATGTTGCAATTGAGGTGTTTCCCTGGGGCCCAAATATTGCTTGTTGTTGGAAACTCTGAGTGAGTGCCTCTTTGTGCAAGATCTCAATCTCAATTGCTCTCTGCACTTTACTTCTCACACCTTTATTTGCCAGTGATCTTTAAGTCTTAGACAATCAAGGCAGGAAGAGCCAAGCAATACATCCTTATCCACTATTTATTTTTCTGTAGCACTGCTGAGTTCTCTCTCATCTCTGTTTGCCAGTTGTCAGCCTGATGGTTCTTCTGCCCCCTGATTCAGAACTAACAGAACCTTATCCTCATCTGCAGATTCTTCTGCGATGAGATGACACTGTTGCAATTAGCAGCTGTCAGGCTCTTTATTAGAAATTCTTTCTTATGAGCAGAGCCTTATCCCTGAGGAGCCCTCTTTTGAAAAAAAAAAAAGAAATGAAAATATTTGTATGCATCTATGCTCTGAGGGTTTGATAAGGCTACAGCCTCTAACTCACAATTGTCTTAAGTTACAGAATTTATAACTGATGTTAAATTACAAGAAGGTAAATTCTGGCTATATATGAAAAACCTCCTCAAAATAGAAGTAGTTAAATGGCAGAACCAATTATTTAGGGATGTTGTAGACTCCCTTTTGCTGGATGAGTTCAAACAGAGGCTGGTCAGCTGTCTGAGATACTTTAATCTGGATTCCCACACTGAGTAACATGGTAGATTCAGTGACTAAATAACTCCTTTCAACTCATTGATTCTACAAGCTCCAGTCTTGATTGGTATAAGAGAGAAGCTAAGTTCTCAGGGAAGGGATATCATTTATGTCAATAACCAATAATTGCTCAGTTTCAAGGCCATGAAGTACAGGGCAGAGTCCTCTGAAGCTGGAAGAAGCAGCACCTGATTTAAAGTGCCATGGGTGTGAGACAGAACTGCACCCTGACAGAGGGCAACTGACTTGTTAATGTACCTTTAGTTGAATTCTTATTTAGTCATACCACGTAGAGTATCTGAGAGACTTCTGCGTAATTCAGGCCTAGTAGCCAAGTTGGCTGTTGGTTTATACAAGCATTAATCTATTACCAAGAGCATCTGCAAGAGTCTCAAAATGACAAGATGGTGGCTGCAACAACATGATTGAACCCAGCCTCTTTTTGCATGTGCTGCATGCATGACTCACTTTAAAAAGGGGCAAAGCTTCAATCATGCAGGAACAAGTGCTATCATGAATTTTTTGACCCCATCGCCCCCTTTGCAGACACCCTGTATACCATCCTATTTCAAGAGACTCAGGGCGGTTTACGGTTTGACAAAATAAAGTAAAAATAAGTACAACAGAAATAACTTGAACAAAAACATTTTAAGTCATGGGGAGTTGGAAATTTACAGCCAAGTCCTGGTTTGAAAAGCCTGACAGTGGACCAGTCCCAATCCTGAGCTTCCTACTTCAGCACCTTGGGGCTCAGATGCCTTCTGATTGATAATATTCCAGAAATATTCCAGAAAAAGCATGACTTGTTTCTAGATGTTTGGAACTAAAATACAATCCTTGATAATGTACAGGCTGCCAGGGGCTGATAGGAATAGCTTTATTTTGACCTTCCAATTCAATCTGGAAAAGTTGAAAGTAGAGGCTGGAGTTCAGAGTATGTATCCCTGTTTTCCTAACACACCATAATGGTATGTGGGAAAGACCTTGGGAGATGGAGCGAAGAGATGCTGCCTAAAGAATGGTCTGATAAGAGGGAGCATAGCCCACAGCTGGATAGTGGGAGGGGCAAGAGGTTCAGAAGGGACCCTCCCTAGTTTCTTGGGCTGTAAAGGAGATGGTGGGAGAATTGTACTTTCAGACTTGCAATATTCTGTCAATGTATCTTTACAATAAAGTAGATTTGGCTCATCTGGTCATGTTTCCTGTTTAGTCTACCTAGTAAGGCTGACACACATACATATGTCCCTAAAATGTACCATGGCTATTCCTCAGGCAAGAGGGTTACTTATGGTATACTGGTCAGGGTGAAAATGAATGTTTATTATCAGACGTCAATCTCCGGTGTAATTAGCAATTATAACTAGCAAGCTTACAAGCATCTAAAGCCTGCTCCTAATTATAGCTGTGCAAACAACACTGAGATAATATTGGAGTCTTTTGTCTATGAACTTGGGTACTAAATTATCTGGCTTTTTAAAGTTAGGAGTCCATGCAAATGATTTAAAAAACAGTTTTATCATGTTAACCTTGACATTCTTAAATGTAATTTGACTTTTAATGATCTCCAATTAAAATTCAAACCTCTAATAATCCAAAATTGTCCTTTCTCCTTTGAAGCAACTTTTTGACATTCTAATGAACAACTGATAATGAATAGATCATTAACACAATCATGATTCTTTATTCTTTTTCTTTAATCAGCAAGTGGCAATTTTGTGTTCTTGTTTTTATAAGTGGTAGGATGGGAGAGGGAGGCAAAGACAGTTGTATATCATACAAGGTACCTTCATCAAGGAATAAAGGCTTTGTGATTGAAGCTATTTGGTATGCTTTTCCCCTTCTGTAAAGAGAGAGTAGAAGATACTGTACCAAAATAGACCCTGAAGATGTAACAGGCTCTCTCAACTATTAGTTCTCCAATTTATTGTAGTTGTAGGGCATTAAACCATTTCATTTACAATCTTCAGAAGAGTCTGGCTCTTCCACTGACTTATATAAAAGATTGATTCTACTTAGAAGTAATGGTGCAGAATTGGAGTTCAGTGGTAGTATACTTGCTCAGCACGTAGTAAGTCTCAGATTCAGTTCCTTAAACCACTAAGTAAGAAAAGACCGCAGTCTGAAACTCTTGAAGGTCATTGCCCATCTATGCAGAACAGGGATGGGCAGTCTCTTCAGCCTCATGGGCTTCATATATTGTCAGGGAGGTGGTTGTACATGCTAGTGGGTGCCTCCCTTGCAATCTGGGTCTTCACCATTCCATCAGCACTAAGGGTAGGGGGGCAGCAGGAGAAAGAAAAAATCAGACTCTGTGCTAACAGTATGAGTCCTAAGTACCCAATGTCAATTGTAAGCTAATTTGTATAAGGAATTTTGAATATCTATCCTTCTCACCTGTGCTTCTTCCCCTAAGGAGGTAGTATTTTATTTGTACCAGGTTAAAAACAATATTAAAATAAAACCAATCTGAGCATTCCATATAAAAGGTATTCCACACTTAAAGTACAGTACATTATAACAAGATGGCCATTTCCGCTTAACAAGACATGGGGTTGTGTATGTTGAAGTTGTGTAAGGGGATCTTTGTTGACATGAGTTGGATCAAGTGTTAGATGAGTAATTCACAATAGGACAAAATATATAATGGCAAAATTCTGTCATCTGATCTACCATCAGCAGATTTGGAATCTCAGAGATGGAATGATAAGGATGATTTTTGACAAAAGAAGCAGGAAAACTGAATGCTTCCTATCAATAGGAGCATACTATTCAAAGCTATATACAGTAATGAATGGCTATACTGAGTATCTGATTTGCCCCATGAGAAGAATCCCTCATTGTAGAGAAGGGATGTATTTTTGTATAATTTTGCAACTCCTATTAGTGATCCATGTTGCTATCAGAAAAAGACAAGATGAAGCAGGTGGTCCTTTCCTTAATGTTTTTCACAATGAGGGTGGATATAAGATGGAGGGAGAAGAGTATATTCAGTATTTTCCCCTTCAGCTCCATATCCTCCACAAACTGTTTCTTTCATCCCTGGGCAAATGAGGTGGTAGATAATGACAATGTTTTCCTTAGTAAAATGACTTCTTGGTAATGCTATATGAGACAATGAGTATGTGCCGACATGTCACTAACCATGATTTCTTTCCTGTATTAATAAAAAGGAAACAGCTTGGGTATACATTGTAAACTGGAAATGGAGCCAGATGGGACTGGGTTAAGCAGCTCTATACCTCCCTTTTTCCTATTCAGGTGCTCCATTTCTTAATAACAAGACTGTCATTCTCAATATCAAGTATTTTTAATATCAAAGGGGGGTGGTAATAATTTCACAGTAATCTTTTTTACCAAGAATCTTTTAAGATACCTAAATATGGGCATGGTGAAACCCACCCCTCCTATCTCTTTGGGATTCATTGCTAAGCGACTGCATCTTGCAAAGAGAAATGCTGTTACTTGATTCAACCATATTTTATTCCTTCAGGATATGAAGGTCAAAGCTTTCGACGTGCGAGTGAAAAATGACAAAGCATGTTTGTTTATTTTGTAAAGAGTTTTCTCAAGCTGGAAAATCACTAGAACCTTAATCAAAGAATTGTTATTAAGGATGGGTATATTTTCAAAAACGATTTGGAAAACCTTCTTTGGATCTCTTATTCCATAAAGCTCCATTATTATTATTTTCAAGCTTTCGTATGGGTCTAAAAAAAATGCCACTGTCTTAAAAGTTGGGTTAACATTAGTAAGTGGTTCCCCTAAAGCAGCTGCAAATTTTTCAGACGACCAGGAAAGCCTGAAAATGTTGAGTGGCTTTAACATATATGAGAAAGGTGCTGCAGTCAGATGAGATCCAAAGCATTTCTTTCAAATTGTTTTCAGTGCATATAGTACCTTAATGCTTATTAGAATGGAAAGTACGGGATGCACACCCCTTCCCAAATATAGATGGAATGTGTGAATTGTATCACGGCTTTGTTATCTCTAGCCAACCCCAGTCACGGGTTATGGCCTGTTGCAGGACTCCTGTTTTTGTTCATTGGGAGCCACAGACGCAACTTGGTCCAGTTAATGGCTTTTGTGAGAAGTCTATGGATTGGGGTGGGGAAGAGTAGGTTGGAACTTTCCTCACTCCATTGCAGTAGGGATACATGGATTAAGAATTCGAATAGTTCTTGATTTATTTATTTATTTTTTTCATAAAATCTGACTGAGAGAATTGTTACTGTTGTTTGAATCATGTTTCTGGGATTTTTCTGATTTTTGGTTTTCTCTTTCAGTGCATAGTTTGGGACTGGGATTCCAATGGCAAGCATGACTTTATTGGAGAATTTAGTTCAACTTTCAAGGAAATGCGAGGAGCAATGGAAGGAAGACAGGTAGGCTCAGACGAATGTATGTTATTTGCAAGCAAACAGATAACCCTCTATGAGAGTAATGGAAAAAGTGGGTGTTCCTTTGATGACGCTTTGGTTTAAAGAATACGTTATACAAGGAAAGCAGACGAAGAACTATTAAAACACTATTTTAACTATTAAAAATGATCTGTATATCTTGACAAATAAGCTAAATGCTTATGGAAAGAATACAGTAGTCTTCTTACTTGTCATAGATGATCTGGAACCAGCCATCAGAGCAGAAAAGAAAATTGTACTCAAGTGGCTGAGAACATTTATGGATCTTGAACAAATATCAGTCTCAAGCACATGTAACGTAAACTGACTAAACAGCACAATTAGCCAGTCCACTGATCCTTTACCTCTGTGACTGATGGTTTGGGTAATTGCACTAGCTCGCCAATGCTACACATGGCTCAAATAGCATAGTTACATTGAAGAGTGCTTTACCTGGACCGACCATCACATCTATTTTTCCTTTACGTAGAGATCTCAGTAATGTGTTTTACAGCTCAGATTAATCCAGCATATGTATCACCTTTGTGCTTGACTTCTATGCTGTCTTTAAATGTCATGAATGATTTCAATAGGAACTGGACCTGAGGCAGATTTTAATTGGAATTTCTGAGAAATCTTATTCTTTCCTCGGCAGCTGGACTTAATTCCCAGAGGCTCTCTAAAAGTTCCTATGAACTGAAATGTTTTATGTGACCAAAGTGGGAAGCTATCAAATACCTACAGTTTTACTTAGATCTTTTTTAACAATGTGGAAGATCATATCACCACTTTTCAGCATTTTGCCATTAAAGTTTGGTAGTGCTGATTTGGGTCAGGTAAACCAAATGTCACTTTTGGTGTCTTGCACTGAAGTTAAGCCAAACAAATAATGTTATAGTTTATAGTGTAGCTTTCTTATAGCTAGGGGAGAAAGAGGAAGGGAAGTGAGGTATCAAAAATATGTTAGGCATTATTCTATATTTTTAGCCATCTACTTTATCCTACCATAATGAAATAAATTGATGTTGCAAATCAACCATGAATTAAAAGCTGCAGTAAAAAAGAGCTCATTAATTATTACACTTCTGGTTCGCAGCTCTGATTGATGGCAGTTGTTAGATATGACAAATGATCGTCATTTCATGTGAGTGTATAATACTGGATACTGGATTTATTAGCTTTGATCCATTTTATTAAGGCAATTAAACTTTGATACTTGTCTATTTTCTTTCTGTAATAGTAAACAAACAGCCTGATCTCCAAAGCTTTCTAGCATTTTCCACACCCCAAAAAGGTTGGTTTATAAACTTTTCCATAGGTCATTCATTCAGAAATATCTGAAAATACATGATAGGCTGGAGTGACCAGATAAAGGTACTCTGCACGAGAAATATGGGCTCTGGAAATATCCTGGCTTATTCTGCATTGACCATTCATCTCATCTTATTCCTGGTTCTAGAACATGACTGAGGAAAAACAGAGTTCTGCCTTTGCTAGGAGTATTCTCCTTTTAGCATTAAATAGAAATCCCCATTAGTTTTACCAAATCTAGTGTAAATACAGTTTTACCAGCTCTGTCCAACCTGCCCCCAGTTTCTCCAGTCATCCTCTTGTATTCTCCAGTCATTTCTGTCCCCATGATCTCAGATTCTGTCCAGAGGCTGAGACTGGGGTAGCCAGTGGTTGTTGGATTGCTAGTGTTGCTGTTATCTTAGAATGATCTCGCTGATCTCAGAATCAAATACTCCTACTACATCCTATTTTCACCCAGGTGCTCTACATAAACAAGTGTCAAAATGCCTTATGGTATGTACCTATGTGGCATGTGTATTTGTATATGGTATCAGCAAAATGGGGAGAAAGCTTTGTGGATCTTTTGCAGTTGAGACAGAGTGAGTTGGAGCTGTTCAAGTACTAGGTGAACACAAAACTGTCCAAAATGGCCCTGAGTTGATCTGGGTTCAGGTTTTACTCTGACTTGGAGCACAGCTCTAATATTTTGCCTTTCTCTTCCCAATCTCTGCTGTCATTTACTCTTGTACAGATTTATCTGAATAACTAGAGCTTACTCTGAAAAAGAGAAATCCAGTATTGTTCAATCTATTAATTTCAAAACATTCACTGAGCAAGGAGAGTTTGCCAAGGGCAGGGTGGCACCTCATTGCTTTGTAAACTGTTCAGTACAATTAGCCCTAGTTCTGTTATTCAAGGATTAGTATTTTACATTGATCATTAATGATATTTGTATTTTGCTCTTACTATGCTTTGACATATTCTATTGTGTTCTCACAACACCCAAGTTTATATATAATACTTGAATGGGCAAACTTTTGGCACTTTGGTTATCATTTCCACATTCAATATGAGGAAACATGCAAACCACAGATTGCCATTGCATTGATCCACTATTCATTGCAAAGTCAGCAGTCAAATTAGGACAAGCATTTAAAAAATATTTTTTATCTTGGACTTACACATATTTTAATAAAAATGAAGCTGAAACTATTCAAGTGTGCCAAGGAAATTCCTCTGCTCATCTGTAAAATACTAGAGGAATTTAAAAATAGCCTTAAAATGAAGTCGCACCTGGACAATTAGCAGTGGGATTATTATATAACTGAAAAATATGTTTCTATAATAGGAAATTAAAGAGATAAATTAATACTGAAAAATATTCTTACATTTATAATCTCCATGGAAATTTCCATAAAGTGGAACTGTTATATAACTTAGTTTGTTTATAAACTGGGTTTTTAAAATGTAGTCCTGCAAACACTGAGCTCTGGATGTTCAGAAACTATTATTACCTGAGCTGTGTATATTTTCATTATAAATATAAAATTAGTTACAGTGAATCTCAGCAGATGGCATCAAGTAGCCATCCTTGGCTGATCTTGTAAGCTAAGCAGAGTTAGCAATGGTTAGTATTTGGATAAGGAACCATCTGGGAATTCCAGAGCTGTTGGTAGGCTGGAAAATTAGTCCAGGAGATGGCATGGGCAAAGCCCTGCCATTCCACTGCAAAGCAAGCTGCAGGAAGGCAGTTTGGTGTAGCCCATCCAGATAGGCACACCTGAGGCATCAGGTTAAGATGAGCACCACATCTGAAGGGAAAAAAGCCCACAAATATTAATGGTGTGTGTGTGGGGGGGGGGTAAGGTTGGCAGCTAGTCTAGGGCTTCTTCCAGATGCAGGCAGCAGGAGTTGATCTTAAATAAAAACCTTCTTCTATCATTGTAGTTTCACTCTGAATCGAGGTTAAAAGTTTCATGTGTCTGAAGCCAATGCTTCCATAGATATGGAGATGCAACGTTAATCTAAATAACCTTTGATATGACCTTGACAGGTGGCTGTTAAAAAAAAAACCAAAACTTCAAAATAATCTTCCAAAAAAAAAAATTGATCGTAGTAATGATCTTTGGACAATACTTCTGGATTTATCTCAGTCAATTAATCAATATTCTTAATGTTTTAACTGCCAGTCATAACAAATGACTTATCACAGACAATCACAACTTATGTTACTATGATCATCAGTTTCAGAGCATGCCAGTTTCTTAAACCTACATTGTTGTGAAGCTGATCATCATAATTTTCTTGTTTGGATGAAACGCTGATAATCATAGTTTTCTGGTTCATACTGTAGGTAATTAGAGATGTCTCATTTTATTGTGCTTACGGAAATAACAAGAGTAAAAGGGCTGAGCTTTGGATCCACTGGATTTGAACTCAAATTCTGAATTTCGGATTTATTTAGAAATCTAACACTTAAATTATGAAAAATATGGTTCACTTTGATTTGGGTTATTAACACATTTTACCAATTTTATTGTGCTCCAAATAAGACTATGGTGTTCCCAATGGAGGAAATAGGTGGGGCAAGCTGAAAGGGCCAAATCTGAGTGATAAATTTAACACATCTTTATCAATATTGTTTTCAACTAAATTGTGGAGAATAATTTTTTTTTTAGAACATTGGGGCCGCAGGGTGAGTGGGTGGGTGGAGTGTGAACTTGAGCAAGTACTCCAGAGAACAAGAGGACAAGGGAATATTGGAAAACTTCCCAGGAACATGTGTCTTGTGTCTATCTGTTTCTTCAGCTGAAAAAAAAATTCTCAAGATGAATATTGAGATCTAGGATGGAGGTACTCAACTGCCTAGGCTATCTACTTCAGGAAGGAAAAAAAAACCCCTCTTGTTAACTTTCTATACTGATCAAGTCCTTTGGCCAGACTCCAAAAAGAGAGCTGGGCAATCTTTTAACCTTTTCTTTGGATATTAACTATAATAAAAATCCCAGCTTTGCCAGGTTCTGCTGTATGTATATATACCCAGAGTGTGTTTAACAAAACTTTCACCTTTTTCAGAGTCCAAAACTGTACCATGAAATTACAATTTTCCTACACTGGAGAAGAGGGGAAATAGCACATTCTCATGTTCAACTCATGTGTTCATGCTGAAATCTCTGCACTGAAACAACTGGATAGGAATGCCTATCAAATTAAAATTAATAACCATTAGAAAAAGAGCTAATGCCGCATGAAAAAACTAATTACACAACATTTACGCCAGTTATGTCTTTGACTTCAGACTACAATAGTAAAAGGGAGCTTCCAACCTCAGTGTGGTGTTGTCAAAACCCTTTTTGGGGGAAGTTCCTGGAGCCTTTTCTACCTCTTGAAGAAAAGTCTTCCTCGAGTCAAGCTTCTTTCCTAGTGACTACATGGACAGGTTTATGCAATTTTCTTGGCAACAGTATATAAATGGTTTGCCATTGCATTCTTCCAGAATATTTTTTTTAGGCTTCTCATTCTAGCCTATATCTTTGGAGTTTCCTGGTGATCTCCTATCCAAGTACTAAGCAGATCTGACTCTACTTAGCTTTTTTGAAATCCCTAAGGTTGACTAGGTTCTACAACCTGCTGGAATCTTCTGTAACTATGTTCCCAACATTCAGGAGACTGAGTTCCCATTTTGATGTAGGAACACACCAAAGCTCTAAAATAGGTTTGAAAAATGTAAAAGTGAAATGGGAAAACAAACAAAAACAAACAAAAACAAAAGACAGATCTCAGCCTACGTACATGTGTAAGCAACTTTGTGTCTTTTGCATCATCTTCCCACCCAAAGGTTGCTAACCACTGGTTTTCAGAGTGCTCACAAAAGTTTATGCCTTTTAATAAAATTTGTTAGTGAAAAATGTGCTACCGGACTTCTTTTGTCACCATATGTCACCTGTCTCTCCTCCTCCTTGTGCAATCTTGCATACTTCTATTCAAAAATAGCATTAAGTTCAATGGAGCTTATTCCCAAATAAGTTGCATGGGTTTTGCCCACTTACTTGGAAATAAGTCCTATTGAACTGAGTAGTTGCCAAATATGGGTCTGCACTGTAAGTGTAAATTGTCACTTCAAGCAATTTGTGACTGTAGCACTAAGTGGCCTCCCTTAGTATGGCTGATTATTTACCCTTCAAGGAATATGTTCAAATCCATTAAGTGTTTTCACAGAGATTAACTGCTTGTAGAAGCAGATGAGTCCACTAATGGATTGAACTGGAATAAATTCAAATAAACATACATATGGGTGGTAGGCAGAAAAACACATTTATGTTATTGGATAAGAATTAAAATGGTAAAAAAGATAAAAATTAAATTTCTGGCTTGACTGGAATGGACAATGAATCAGTATCAGTGACTAATATATTAAATAGCCATAAAATATCCATTTTGTATATTTGGGAATGTATCCAAAATTGATTTTATTTCAGTTTGAATTCATTTCTTAGTTATTCATCTATATGCATAAAATTTATATTAACACATTAAGACTTTTAACTATTGGTCTCAATATTTATTTGTTTGCACTAGACCAGCTTTCCCTAACCTAATGTCCCCCAGATGTGATGGACTGCAATTTTCATGATCTCAATTCAGCGTAGACAATAGCAGTGCTGACTGATGTTATGAAGTCCAACATATATGGAAAGCATAAAGTTAAGGATGAGGATGGCTGCACTAGGGAACGATGCTTAATCTCCTTAATGACCGGAACTAAGATATATAATGAAAAGAGTTAAGAACCTGGGACTTAATGCTTAGTTGGTTACCCCTGTAATAGTTTTCTAGAAGAAGAAGCCACTGAGTTGTTAACCACTGAACTGGGTATCAGTAAAGCAAATGTCAGCAAGGAAGTACTGCAACTCATTGACTCAGCAGTTGTTAGAGAACTCTAAGGGCAATCTGGCCATATAAAGCAGCCTGCTCCAGTATCCTCCATGTATATGGGCCACCTCTTAGATCATCTAGCTAGAATGGCCATGCTGAAAATTTAGGGAGCTGAAGTACACAGCTTGGGACAATGCCTAGATTGGGCATGGTTATTACAAAGTATGTAATTATTTTCAGTCTTGCCATTATGACCCAAAGAAAGTACTTCCTTCTTCACAGAATACAGAATTTACTATTGGAATATTCTGCCAAATGTTGTATCAGCAGATTTAGTTATGATAACTAAGCAAAAGTGAACTTCTGAACACTAGCTGTGGTCTGAGAGATGGTGGAGTTTTGATGATATACATACCCTCCTTATAGTTCCTTATAGACTTTGAATTAGTTAGAATTAGAATTTGAAATGAATCAGGGAATACTGATAGAGTCTTGGGCTGCTTGTTTCAGAACTGTGGCTGACTTTAACCTGATCTGTGCATTCTCCTGGAAGCATGAAGGCTCAAAATGGAGAATGTCAAGGAGGTCTTGCTTAATGGATTTTCTATAAACTCAGGAAGCAAATCTCATTTACAGATCAGCAATCAAGATGGCTTCTGACCATCTCTGTTATGTCCTGCTTTTTGTCTGTTTAGATGTTGGCCAGGGATTGGATGACAGAATGATATATGGCCATATTGGAACAGCTTTGCAATAAGGGCATGCCAAATCAATGACAGCAACATTCTCAAGGAGCTGAAATGATATTTACACATTTGATCTGAGCTCTCATGGTTGTTTTGTGTGATTTCTTTTTGTTTGTTTTCATCTGCAGAACACACATTATGCAATCTGAATAAATGATAAATGAAGACATGGCTTTCATGTTGTGACTTGTGTTTTCACAGGTTCAGTGGGAGTGTATAAACCCCAAGTATAAAGTAAAGAAGAAGAATTACAAGAACTCTGGCATCGTCATTCTTAATCTGTGCAAGGTGCTTTTATTTAGGCAGTACTTTAATAATGAATTTGAAAGTATTGTTTTCAACATCCATGCAATAAGCAAACTGAGGAGAGGGAATTGGATTCCACATTTTGTAAATTTTTATATGTGTTAAAAATAGAACATGTCATAAAAATGCATATTGTGGGATTCCCAAAGGTAGGATAACAGATGTTGCTGCATCAAGGTGGATCAACATTTTTATTGGGTTGACTGCTGCAGATCCAAAATGGGCATTGACTCTTATACGTTCAATCTGTTAGCCATGTATATTCAAAGCCTTATATTTGCTTAATTATGCTAAAAGGTACAGGTAAAGTCTCTGAGTTGAGCTCAAATCCTGGGGAACTCCTGGACACATCAAAATAGTTGTCTTGGTGATGGTCATCTTCCAGGATGTTTTTGACTTTCAGATAAACCCTGCTATTCTTGGTAGTTTCCCATCCAAATACTAACCAGACTAACCTTGCTTAGCTTCTGAACCTAGATAATTTAAGACAAGGATATAGTACCATCACTTAATTTTATTATGCTCACAGTACATGAGCTAAATGGGTTATAGATGCTAATCAAAAAGAAAATGGTATTTAATAATTCAAATATCAAGATGCACTGAAGTTACCCCCAAGTGATTCATATTTTAATTGCATTGGTTTTAGATGAAAAAGAAGTTTAAAGTTTTCCTGGTCCAAATGATTGGAGCTATTTATCTTAAAATTATTGGGGATGTAACCACTGGGCATCCAGATGGGGAAGTGAGAGAGACTCCTTGCAACTGAGACATTAATTGAGGCATTGTCAGATCAGGTTAATACTTGGATGGAAGATAACCATGAACTCCCAGGGTTGGAGGGAGGTGTTTTTTGTTTTTTTTTAAGGAAAAACAAATTGGAGGAAAGCAGAAGCAATCCACTTATGTACTGTTTCAGGAAAATTACAGGAATGTGACAATCTAGTCACCAGGTATCAAGATTTACTAAAGGAAATCTTTACCTTTTTATCTTATCACTTTCAGCCTTAGAATTTTATCAAGAATCCAGATGTCATTGTTCACCTGTGTTTTCCTACCCTTAGGTATTTTTTTCATCTGACCAAAAAGAAATTTAAAAAACAGTTAAGCAATAAAGGGCAAAGTAGCCACACAGCGTTTGTAGTTAATAGCTCTAGGGCCCCTCCATTGAAAAGAACCCCAAATTCTGTTATACCAGGGCAGCATTCTTTTCTCTGGAAGTACAATAAGAGAGGTGCCAGTTTGGAAAGTTGTCCTAATGCATCCCACATGTACCATGCTAGGAAAGGATGGCCGCTCCACAGTAAGACATAGCTAGAAATATCTCCTTGTGACGATGCTTGGCTTGAAAGGGTCATGAGCAAAATGGACTTTGAGGATCATATTGTGAGATTCCAACAGCTCATATTAAAACAGAGTGAAACAAACTGATTTGCTCCCTTCCTGCAAGTTGTTTTGTAAAGAAATAAATGGGACTTCTTTTTCCAAGACTCTCATTGGTGTTGTTCCCTAACTGTTCTTAAAAGATTAGCAAGCACAAGATAAGCAAACAGCGGCAATAGCAACAGAACGTTTCATCTTTCATTCCTCCATCATCCACATGGTGGACTTATCTGCCTTGAGTTTTGCTGGGAATGGGGCACCTGCTTTGTGAGAACTTCCAGTAGGGAAAAGAAAGTAAAGAAAGGATGCTGTAGCAATCTGAGGTGTGGCACTGAACCACAAAATGCATCCATTCCGGGAAATCCCAAATCCATACCCATTAGAAGATGTCTCAACATGAAACTCCGTATGGATATGTAGTCTCCAACTCTCCTTCAAAGCAATTCTATGCTATGATTCTTAGCAATGAGAGTGTTTTTTCCCCCCTTTATATAAAGGTGGGGGGAAGAGAGGAATATTTATTTTTGTGGTGGGGAACATTATTTCCTGTGTCACTTACTCTCAATGTTCTCTAAAGTATTGGTGGCCTCAAAGAAATACCTTCCCATGTAATAAAGAAGGAAATACTTAAGAACACACCATTTTAAACCCAAATTTCTGACTTTCTTCCCTCCAGATTCACAAGATGCATTCATTCTTAGACTACATAATGGGTGGCTGCCAAATACAGTTTACAGTAAGTATTTCATTTATTTTAAAAAAGACAAAACTTTTCACAATGCTAAGTATTTATTATTTTACATACAGGATATTAGACATGAGGTACTCCTCTTCCCCTGAAATATCACAGGGTTTTGTTGTATTCAAATAGGAAATCAATGTGTTAAAAATGTTTAATTTCTAATAATCTTTGTTCAAAGATATAGCATATCTTAAATGTAATGGCTTGTATAAATTACAATCTTGAATAGTGAAAACCTGATAGCATGTCAAATTTAATTTTGCCTATAAATATTTGATATTTGCATAGCTAATAAGTTTAGAGGGACATTTACTATAGCAGTGTATAAGAATAAGCTGTGATATGACTGCATCAATCTTTGTGTATTTAGCAATCCATAATATACATCTAATTGTTTATTCTTTGGACATTTGGTTTATTTTTCTAGCTTTGCCAAAGCCAACACATGGGTTGTTACTGTTGTTTCTGGAAACAACATTTCCAAAAATGTTGGTGCATTTGGATACAAACTGTATTCATTTGCACTTTGCAACTGAAGTGTGAAATGGAACACATTTATCCTTCCAGTTTTATTTGAGATTTGTGATAGAGGTTTTCTGCTTTAAATCTTACTTAAAATGCATTTTTCATAAAATATAAACTATATGTGAACATAAATGTTTTGATATGATTATACACACAGGCATACATATATAATACTTAAAATGCATACACACACATACACTCATACACACATACATACAGTGAATAGTTCCATGGACTTTTTTTTTCTTTTAGCAAAATAAATACAGATGAATACAGAAGGAGGGCAGAATTGTTGTTGTTTAGTCGTTAAGTCGTGTCCGACTCTTCGTGACCCCATGAACCATATTGCGCCAGGCCTTCCTGTCTTCACTGCCTCTGAGTTTGCTCAGTTTCATGCTCATTGCTTCAGTGATGCTATCTA